GTGAGTGTATGTGTGTGAGTATATGAGTGTGTGAGTGAGTGTATGTGTGTGAGTGTATGTTTGAGTGTTTGAGTGAGTGAGTGTATGAATGTGTGCGTGAGTGAGTGAGTGTATGTGTGAGTTTGCGTGAGTAAGAAATTTTTGACACAACCATGGCATTTGACAGGAATAGAGTTGGTCAACTTGGTCTACCATAACGTTCTAAACGCATAGGATATTCTATGCAATTCGATTCATGTTTCACTGGCCATTAGGTATCTTGAAGAAGTCGCCAACAGGTCAACTGAGACCCGCCTTCGACATCATCATGGACGTCCCCTTGAGGACCGGGGTAGAATCTGTCCTCAGCACCACACCGCTTCTGGTAAGGTGAGTTAACTGGGCAACCCGAGGGTTGCGCCTATGTGTCAGTGGAAGATGGAATTAGGTGGCTGATGGTTCCAGGAGCAGTCTGCCTTTGCCCTACACACCTTGTCCCTAAGTTCGACTTGACGGGCTGCACGATGAGACGGGTCGTATCAATTGGCTGGCCATGCCAAACTCTGCGCATAAATTGTACTGCGCATATACTATTTCTGAGTTACTTTTCATTTGGTACGGTTATTAAACATGAGTAAATTTTGAAACATATATCTAGTCATCTTCCTAGAGTTCCATATGCCCAGAGGTAGGTGGCTGATGGGCCTGTCAAGAAGATCATTACTGGTAATGGTTGCTGCTGGTGTATGCCATCTTGGCATCTTTGGTGCTTCCTGTTGGAGGCTCAAAGCCATGTGGCATGGTTGGGTATTGTTGCTGCGAAGCATTGCATCTTTAAGACGGAATGAACCTTATCACCTTCATAAGACTGTATTGCTTACATTGAATATGCCAAAGCCAACAACATCAATTTGATTCAGGAAACAGAAGTACCGTTAGTACCTGTGATTTCAAACGAGGTGGTCAAGCCTTGGTTGCAGGTTGTCTATGGCTTGCATTTCATTGTATTAAATTGAATGTAGATGCACTGTGTGGATTACAACCGTTTAGAACTGAAATGGTTAGTTTTTAGAATCGACTATAGTCACTGGCATCATGCTACTGTTACTGTCCTGTGTGACCTTTTAATCAGCAAAACTATTCCAAAGCTTTCACTATAAGGCTGAGTTACTGCAGAGGTAACACTCGCTCGCTCCTTCGCTCCCTCACTCCCTCACACTTGTCCTGGAACATTTACAGTACTCACTGTGTACATATCTGTTGTTGAGTCTTGTAACACTGGTGTAGAGGACTGCACACAACAGGACAACGAGGCCGTACTTCTTCAACTGACGGCTTGTCAACGAATATGTTGTAGTAACAAAGGTTCAGTCATTAGAATCCGCGGGCGTTATTTTCGGACGCAAGGTCATAAATATTTATAAAAACGATCTTTATTCACCTCATCAGTAACGCCACTAGCCACTAATGAATACTCAAGCAGTCATGTCCTGGTCGAACCCTAAAGTTTCCCAAGTCAATTGAAGACTACAATAGAGTTCGAAGTGAAAGGCGGAAACTTTGTGTATGTAGAACTTCCATCAGTCCTTTGGAACTATGACTGACTGAGAGCAACATTGGCTGAAGTCACGGCATCTTGTCTGGTGTCTTGCGTCAGCGGTTCAAAACATATCCTCCAAATAAACGAGTGAGTGGGTTTTGTTTTACGCCGCTTTTAGCTATATTCCAGCAACATCACGGTTGGGGACACCAGAAATGGGCTTCACACATTGAATGCATGTGGGGAATCGAACCTGGGTCTTTGGCGGGACAAGCGAACGCTTTAACCCCTAGACTACCCCACCGCATCCCCAAATAAACGCCCAGATCACGGAAGCAGAACGCCACGTGTTTGTTCCATCCAAACATGCATCTAAATACATTCTTTTTACCGTCTTATCGCGAATACGTCAAGTGGCCTCAACTTGTTAAGCATGAAACTTTCTGAATAAATTAATTGAATCGGTTTGTTTAAAGCACGACAATGGAATCGACAAAACTCTTTTCCACATTCATAAGAAATGTCTGCTAAAAGCAGAATCGATTGTGCAATTGTGACTATATCACGAACATATGTTGGTGTCAGCAGTATTACAGCTGTATGATGTGGTTTGTAAACAAATCTAGTCTGAACCGGACAATCCAGTGATTGGCACCTTGCGATGCGATGACAGAGCATATGTCTATGAATCCCTATAAAATATACTGAACCACAAACGAAACGTCACCTTTCAAAACCAAATGCAAACTTTTGTTCTTACAAGTTTTCACTATGATTGTACCGTTTTGTTAACATGCTTTTCAATCCAAATTGACGGTTATTACCAACATCAGTGTGTTTTCTGATGAAAAAGCATTTTGACCTAACGCACCGAAAAAGGCAGACGTGGTTAAAGGTTCCGTATGACATACGTGAAAATGAAAATGCACGTGCACAACCGTTACAACCTAACAATGAGAGCGAGTCCCAAACTCGCCTGAATTCATTTTTGTTTTGACACATTCACCATGCCACGACTTACAAGAGATCAGAGGAACTAAGCCTTGGGACGATTGCATGTTGACCAGACTGCACGGAGGGTAGCCAATCGCTTTAATGTTTATGTTAGGACAATCTACCGACTGCAGGAGTGGTATCAGGTCACTAAGAGCATCCAAGAGTCCCCGTAGTGGGCGACTTTCAGTAACATCTCAACGTCAAGACCGACCGATTGTGCGCAACCATCTGCAAAATTGCTACCCCAGAGCAACGGAAACACTAGCCAGACCATTTGGACTCACAACAGACCCATCAGAGCCGATACAGTGTGTCACAGACCTTATCGTAGTCCTGTCCTCACCGCTCTCTTTGCTAAAACCGACTGCAATGGGCAACTCAGCATCGAGATTGGTGTTATCGACAATGGAGAACTGTGCTTTTATCTCCTGAAAGCCGATATTGTGTTTCGACAGTCGATGGCAGAGTGAGAGTATGGTGAAGGCGTGGGGAACTGTTTTCCAGTGAGTGTATTGTTGAAAGAGATTCGTGGGGTGGTCCAAGCATCGTAATGTGAGGTGTAATCGGTCTGAACCAGTTAGTTGACACAATGGTGTTCCAGAATCTCGGTCCAGGATGAGGAAATGACACGACAGCTGCTCGCTATATTGGCCAAGTCATAAGACCCCACGTTGTACCACATTTTGGACATTACAGAAATAACATCTTCCAGCAAGACAACGGTCGTCCCCACACTGCCAGAGCACTGCCTATGACAACATGGCATCCAAACCCTACAATAGCCTGTACTCAGTTTGGATTTAGGTCCAAAAGAACACCTTTGGGACGAGATTCAAAGAAGACGGAATGACCTCCATCCAAGGCCGACAACTGCGGGTGGACTCGATCAAGCATTTCGTAGAGTATGGACCCAAGTGCCTATGGCCTTCATCAACCGGCTAATTCATTCCATGTACAGACAATTCAACGCTTTCATCGATGCCCATGGAGGCCATACACAATACTGACTTTGGGGTATCTTAATGGTATCATTTATGGTGATTTTGTTTGTGTGAAACTCTGAATGTGATTCTCTAAAATGTGTTAACCATAATTGTCAAGTTTGAACTCAATTCTCCGTTTTGATTGTTAATCAGTGAATTAAAGTGTGTGCTTTAAGAAACCGCTATCAGTGCGACATTTCTTTTATGGTTCAGAATAGCTATGATACTAGGTGTTCGCGAAAAAGTGAGGGTATCCTGCCCCATCGGTGGCACCGTCATAAACATGGGTTTACCCCACCAGTGGCACCGTCATAAACATATGCTTAGTCCAGTCAATTTTTCACCTGAAATAATTCGGGAACGTATGGTACAAATCAAAATAGGAAACTGCATCGGACATCATCTTTGTCACTGATGCATCAAATTCGGAAATTTCCTCCACATGTCTACCATAAAACTTCTTGAAAGCTAAACAGAGCCCTTAAATGTTGTAAACTTGACCAAACGAGCAAGAGCGGTATGACGCTCTTTGTAATTCTGATAAAAAGAACACATTCGATTGTAACGCAAACGTTGTGAAATGTAAACACAAAGGCTGGAGCTGTTGGAATATTGCTTGATATGAAAGGGAAGTTGACTGTTGGGAAGTTGAAATCATCCCTTTTGTCATACAGCCTTGTGGAGAGTGTTTGTCACTCTGAATCATTATGCATAGATTTAAACACGAACAGTTGAGGCGGTGTCATGTGTCTCCTCAATTTCATGTTCACGTGGGTAAATCAGTGGACGGAGATGGCTATTTGATGGTTATTGAACGATATTCGATCAACGATGTACCAGAACCTTATAAATTAAGTTAAACTTCTTGGCAAAAATTACCTTGCTTTGATTTTGCCAACCCAAACAGAAATTCCGATTCATATGCATAAAGAAACAGATCCACAAGGACGGGAGCACAATCGGTGCCCATGACGATACCTGCTTCTTGGCTAAATGGTTTACCCCAAACTTTTACTTTTGAGAAAGTCAAGCATTTCACATATTGTTTTCTTGGTAAAATCTTCAAATTACATTTGCTTTCATTTTAAAAAAAAATATCCTGAACCTTTGAAGATAAATATGTATGTTTATTTACAAACGCCACATGGATCAAGGTTTTTCCTTAAGTTTGTCACATGGGTATACAACGTTGAAAAATCAAATGTTTCGACTCGGCCTGTTTCTGAGATTGTAAAAATGTAAGCAAATCTTTTGAGTTTTTGAGAACCAACATGGTATTAATTCCGCTCCTTTCACATACTTTCTGTGAATATCGAGAAAGTCCTTTCTGTATAGTATTAAGGATTATGGTTAATCGTTGAGACAGGGATGTGGTGCACATTTACTAGACCCAGCAATATATCTCTCTGTGTTGGGATTCTATTTAACTTTGGAATCCAGTACAAAAGAGGAATAGACATGTCTTCAGGTTTCAGAAACGAAAAGACACACAAAAACACATAAAGAATTTATGGATGTCAACTTTTTTATTTTGAGAAACGCGTTTTCCTGCTGACGATGACATCAAAGTAAAGGGGCAAAACAATTTTCATCATTTAAGCGCACGATTAGCACGTGCATGTTTGGCATAATCTTTTCTGAATAAAAATCAAAATATACATTTTTGATTGCAACAACTGTTTAAAGGTTGAAAAAAGACATTAGGACATACTTGCCTAAGAATTACATCAACAAAACTGACACCTAAAACATTATTTTTATGGCCTAACACGATTGTATTCAATGACATGAAATTGCATCCATCCATCGGCAAAATGTCAAAGCCGTCAAGAGTTAATCAGTAGACTGTTCTTGTATAACATGCTAGCTTCACAACATAAGTGATGTGTGCATATTATTAACGACTTACTCCGTAAAGATTGGCCTCGTTCGCTCTGAAATCGAATTTCACTCCGTGCACGCGATGACAAACAGACTGAAAACCATTAATACAGTGTTTCGTGCAAGACTTGAACAAACATATGTAATGAAAACGACCAAGCCAGTTTCCTTTGACTACACAAACACAAAGACATAACAACTGATAGCAATGGATGGAAAAGAAAAAATAATTCGTCTCTAAAGACCGATTACAACGTTCGGATTCCATTATCCCCGAACCAATTATAAGAGTTTATGTGATACAATATTCATATGAGATCACGGGCTTACTTATCGGTTCATTTTCTTTGGATGTTTGAAGTATTGATCAGTATCTCTTCTCCTTTCAGTCACGCGTATGCACTAAGGCCGAAGTCCATGTCAGTCTTACTTTGATCCATGCAGTAAGTCCCCATGGTCCCTAGTGTGGTAATCGTTCTCCAGTTACTGGCGCTCTGTAGCTCATTTAAACACTGAGTTCAGTTTGACTCTACCACTACAAAAAATGGATGTGAAAATGGAGAAGTGTGACCGCAGCTAGATATGTTTGGATTGAATGTTTACAAGCAGGTAATGGTGTAGGTTGTCCAAGAGTTGTCGTTAACGTGATGTGAAGACAAGGCTTTGTCGGTTAGCAGACAGTTCTCATCAGTCGGCGCTGTTGCACTGAAGCTGAAGTCGATGCATGAATGATGCTGGTGACAAACGATGCCGCAGTCGCCGGCTATCATGGCCGACGTGGTCAGGAACGGCTCCGACACCTTCTTGTTCTTGGACGGTTTGTAGTATGAGCCTTGAGAAAAGTAATTCTATTTAATGTGTGAACGGGATTTCTTCAAAGCTATATTGACGTTGTACTGGTCATCGTCATCGAGTCACGTGACACACCATCAGCAATGGTTGGCTGGTTTGTTGTTTAACGCTTCACTCAGCAATATTCTAGCTATATGGCGGCGGGCTGAAAATAATCGAGTCTGGACCAGACAATTCAGTGATCAAGATCAGGAGCATCGACCTTCGCAAATGGGATACGATGAAATGTGTCTACCAAGTCAGGGATCCTGACCAACCGATCCCGTAAGTCGCCTCTTACGACAAGCGTGGGTTGCTGATGATCAAGTCTAACCCGGATCTTCACGGGTCCTGTCTTTTTATGACAAAGGCGACTTGGATTCATGGTCAGGAACGGCTCGGACACCGGTTGAGTGTCATTTCGCCAAAATCTCAATTCGCCAACACTGTTAAACCAACACGTTATGGTCTGTTGACGGTGGTTGGTATACATGACTGATTTTTGTCACCCCTTGCAGTAAAATAGACTAGTCCACAAGGTTGATAGAAGCGGGATGAAGAAAACTAATGAGGAAAACAACAAAACGTCTAAATAGTCATTTAATTTGTTATGTTATTTGACTTTGGTAGTGTTTTTTACTACTGATATCATGATATACACGCTGTATGCTGGTATACACAGTCAATTTACGTAATGTCCTCAGTGGTATGTCTACATGATAACTACTCAGATAAAGTCACTTCACACATCAGTCGGACAACTTCGGGAGATGTCCGACGGCACCAAGAAACTGAAGAATGTAATTGGGTCATACGAAAAAAGGACAAACCAATCAGAATGTGTGGAAGGATTGTGTACTTTCATGAAAATCTCCCGAGTACTTCAGTCAGTTATGGCATGCTATGATCGTTTAAAAATCCGTACAAAATATATATCACATTGACATTACAAAGAACAAAGCCAACAGAATTGTAACAGTATTTAACATTTTAATAACGATGAGGACCACCAACAGTGACAGATTCAAATATATACACACACGTGCTTTTGTTTACATAATGACTCGCATGTTTTCAATTAAGTGTTTTCTCTGACGACCTTGTTTGCTTTGAAGAAATAACGTGCGCTTTCCGACATGTTTAGATAATGTCATTATAAGTAGAAAAAGTTTCAAAACAATAAACTCTGGGACCTTCATACCTTTTTCAGTGTATTCATTTTAAATATCACCAGGTATATGGCAGTGTTCAGTGTTACATGCAAGTTAAGACTACGTGTAGACACCGAGCACACTTAATGAAGACTGTACGTGAATTTCTACAGTTTAAAGTCATTTTGGTGGATCTATTTTGGAACATATAACAGCTGAAATGAAGGGCTATTTTAATTGCCTTTTAAGGAAAACAATTCCATTTCCGATTCTAAAGTAGTTAAAAATACAAGGCAGGTAACAATTACGTCATCATCATTATTCTTTTAAACAGGTTAAACTGTTTTCTAAGTAGCAACTTCTGAATGCGTCAGTAATGTTTATTACTGTTGTACTTAAGCAGAAATGGAGTTATCGTTCTTGTTTGAAGTAGTTCTAATGTTCATACGCCAATATGAAATCCTTACAGAAGGGGGATAACTCTCTATTCAGCCTGTCCCGGAATACCACGAGAGGGTCACGCATGATAGAGAGATGGGCGGTGCCTGGTATATGCTCACGTGTATATATGTCAGAGGTTATGTTATGTTATCTTGGATTAAGTGGTTTACTCACGATATGGCTTCGTAGTCCCTTCCCCTTGCACGTCAACATGTCCGATCGAGAGGTATATGCCACTTGTGGATCGCCTTGTGACACGGACAAAGCGGACAGGGAAGGTGGCATTGCAGGTGAAGGTGAACTCTTCCCCAGCAGCAAGAGTGTTAGGTACCTCTCCACACCACGCCCCCTGGACGTCAGAGCAGAGGCTGACATCCTTGTCCATCACCTCCACGAATGCATTTTTCATGTAGATGTCTGTAAACATATACTCAGAGTACGTATCATATATAAAATGTACGTTTCTTATATGTAGGCAGGGAGTATGATTTCTTGAAAATAATGTAATTCAAGTATTGTGTTGAATCAGAGTTTTAAATGCATATTTATATCATTCACGGTACACAATACACTTGCTGAATTGTGTTGAATTGCAAGGATATCTACATAGATTTAGTGCGGTGTTTGGTGTGCCACCAACCCTGTATGTTCATGGATGAAAAAAAACAAAGCAAACTTTACACCAATCACTGTAGGAGGTTGCAGTGACAGTGATGTTGCTGATGTTGAAGTAGCCTCTGAGGTCCACCTCCCACCAGGACGGGTTGTCTTGACTTGTGAATGATCCATAGTATGCATGTGCTTTATCTAGAGCCATGCTGGCGGGATAGGTGGAATAGGTACTGCTTTGTTTTGCATCCTTCCCTATTGAAATATTTTCACCTGCAAGGAAAATATGAAGAAAGATAAGACACACGCGCACGCACGCACGCACGCACGCATCCACCCACACACATCCGTACCCACAAACATACATACACATTTTACTTGTCAAAGTATTGTAAGGTCAAAAAAGGGTGAAACTCCTTCACCGAGCCACGTTAATGTAAAAATAAAAGCTGTCCAAGTTGAATGAAATCACTCTCCACGTAGATACATGCCATATATCTTTGAACATATATCCCGCTTATTGGGGCGGTGGGGTAGCCTAGTGGTTAAAGCGTCCGCTCGTCACGCCGAAGACCCAAGTTCGATTCCCCACATGGGTACAATGTGTGAAGCCCATTTCTGGTGTCCCCCGCCGTGATATTGCTGGAATAGTGCTAAAAGCAGCGAAAACTAAAGCTTACTCACTCACTCAAAGCGCACAAAATATAATGCAATTAAAGCAAAGAGCTACAGTTGAAAGACTATTTTGCACATGTGTGTTTTTAGATTGGATCTAAAGGTATGAAAGTCACAACAGTCTCTGAGGCTCTGCGGGAGACTGTTCCAGGCCATAGATCCTGCATGGACAAAGGACCTGTTGCCATACTGCACTGTTTTTACTTTTGGGAGAACAAGCAAGTTCTTATCCTGTGAGCGGAGAGGTCTGGAAGACGTGTACACAGTTAGAAGATTGGATAGATAAGAAGGTGCAGTTCCAGTGAGACAGCGGAAAGCAAGACATAAGAGTTCACATGTACATTGTGTTCCTTTTGAACATTGTTACACAATCAAGTGCAATGCCATATAGCATTATCTTCACCCTCGCGTTAAGCTGTGCACTTCTGAGAACATTCAAGTCTCGATTTTAGTGTGTATCTGTGTTCATGTACTTGTTTATGTGTGCGTGCGTGCATGAGAAATCTTTGACATATTGCAACAATGGCATATGACAGATATGTAGTAGGTTAACTGGGTCTACTATAACGTTCTAAACGCATCCCATATTTCTTGAAATTCATGTTTCATTGGCATTAGTTATCTCAACAAGTCAACTGAGACCCCGCCTTCGACATCATCATGGACGTCCCCATGGGGACCCGGGGTAGAATCTGTCCTCAGCACCTCACTGCTTCTGGTAAGGTAAGTTAACTGGGCAACCCGTTTGCCGTGAGTTGCGCCCATGTGTCGGTGGAAGATGGAAGATGTGCCCATGTGTCGGTGGAAGATGGAGTTGCGGACAATGGTTCGAGGAGCAGTCTGCCTTGCCCTACACACTTTGTCCCTAAGTTCGCCTTGACGGGCTGCACGATGAGACGGGTCGTATCAACTGGCTGGCCATGCCAAACTCTGCGCATAAATTGTACTTCACAGATTGTATTTCTGAGGTTATTTTCACTAAATGTGTCTTGTTACGGTTTATTGAACATGAATTAATTTTGAAATATATACTCTCCCAAAAAGGAAACGCATCATGAAAATAACAATTTCATGTAGCAATGAATTAAAACGTGATTAATTTTACAAAAGGTTTTGCTCTGTTTTGAGTCCCAACAAAACGCACCATCCGTAAAATACCCGTATTTAACAGCATGATTTTCAATTTCGGCGTGTAGTGTCACAGAATACACAATTCACATGTAATGCACGTGAAAGTTGGGGATCAGATAGTCTCAATGATGGGTATAAAAGGTTGATCACTGTCTGTCGATTATTCACTGTATTTGGAATATTGCTGATGAGCTGTCATATCGCCATTGGTTTGCTTGAAGCTGGGCAGTTTCAACGTGCAGTTGCCCGACGCATGAATGTTCACCAAAGCACCATTTCACGGCTCTGGGAGAGATATCGCCGGCAGAATTCGGTAGCAGATGCCCCTCGTAGTGGGCGACCTCTAGCGACCACTGCGGCGCAGGATCGCTACATCCGGATACATCATTTGCGTCATCGAACAGCTACGGCGACCGGTACCGCTCGACAAATACCCGGATTGAGGAGGCTTTCTGCACAGACCGTCAGGAACAGGTTGAGAGAGGCTGGTGTACGTGCCAGAAGACCTTATTTTGGCCCTGTGCTTCGACAACAACATCGTCGACATCGAGTTCAATGGTGCACCAACGTTCAGGCCTGGAACCTACCGAATTGGCGTAGAATCTGGTTCAGTGATGAATCACGATTTCTATTGGAACGACGCGATGGAAGAATGCGGGTGTACAGACGTCCGGGTAAGTGTTATGATATGGAGAGAGATCACCTGCCGTAGGAGAAGTGATTTGGTGATGATCCAGAGCAACCTGACAGCTCAACGGTACTCTGACGAAATACTACGCCCACATCTCATTCCAATCATTGATCGCCAGAGGGAGTTGTTTCAACAGGACAATGCCAGGCCCCACACAGCACGCCACACTAGAGACTTCCTCCAGAACCACAACATCAATGTGCTCCCCTGACCCTCAAGATCACCGGACTTAAACCCGACCAAACATCTGTAGGATGCCCTGGACAGACGGGTGCGACGCCGTAACCCTCAGCCCCAGACACTTCAGCAACTTGCACAGGCACTACCGGCAGAGTCGGCTGCGATTGGGCAACACGAGATTCTGAGACTTATTCGTTCGATGCCGACGCGATGCCGTGCAGTTCTGGATGCCCACGGTGGTCACACGAGGTATTGACTTCAGCGCCACCACACGTCTCCATGTGACACTCAAACTGACTTTCCTCGAGTTGGTGCCAAAGACGGAGAAGTCTGCATTCCCAGTGTGCAATTTCGCTATATTTCATTGACTCATAAAGCCTACAAGATGTTTCAAAATAAAAATAAAAATACAGTTGAAATTCCTATATGCGTTTCTTTTTTGGGAGAGTATATATGTAATCATTTTCATAGAGTTCTATATGCCCAGAGGGAGGGGGCTCATGGGCCTGTCAAGAAGAACATTACTGGTAATGGTTTCTGCTGGTGTATACCCTCTTGGCATCTTTGGTGCTTCCTGTTGGAGGCTCAAAGCCATGTGGCATGGTTGGGCATTGTTGCGTCGAAACATTGCATCTTTAAGAAGGAAGGAATCTTATCACCTTCAAAACACTATATTGTAATATGTTACTGTCCTGTGTGACTTACCAATCAGCAAAACCCGTGAAGGTCCGGGTTAGAACATTGATCTTCAGAAACCCATGCTTGTCGTAAGAGGCAACTAACGGGATCGGGTTGTCAGGCTCTCTGGCTTGGTTGACACATGTCATCCGTTCCCAATTGCGCAGATCGATGCTCATGCTGTTGATCACTGGATTGTCTGGTCCAGACTCGATTATTTACAGACCGCCGCCATATAGCTGGAATATTGCTGAGTGCGGCGTAAAACTAAACTAACTCACTCACTCATCAATCAGCAAAACTGTTCCAAAGCCGTCACTGTATGACAGAGGTATTGCCGAGGTAAAACTAACTCGCCCGCTCCATCCCTCACTCACTCACTCACTACCTCCGTGGTGTAGAGGTAAGAGCGTCCGCACGGAGGGCCGAAGGTCGCGGGTTCGATCCCCAGTCGCGTCATACCAAAAGACGTTAAAATGTGGCGCTTGGCATTAATGGGTACAGCAAGGACTGGTCGGCTCGGAGTCAGCTAATGTGTCTGAGGGTATTCATGCTTAACTGCGGCGTGGTATCTCAGTGAGCTAGCACTATAACACCGGCTTAAATCTGGGCTAGTACAAGCAGCCACACATACACAAGCACGCACGTCGTCATATGAGTGAAATATTCTTAAGTTCGACGTCTCACCTCACCTCACCTCACCTCACCACCTCACCCAACACCACCCCACCCCACTGAACCCCACCTCACCTCACCTCACCTCAAGAAACATTTACAGTACTCACTGTGAACATATATGTTGTGGAGTCTTGTAACACTGGTGTAGAGGACTGCACACAACAGGACAACGAGGCCGTACATCCTCAGCTGACGGCTTGTCAACGAATGTGTTGTGGTGACAAAGGCTCAGTCATGGGAATCCGCGGGCGTTATTTTCATAAATATTTATGAAAACGATCTTTATTCACATCATCAGTAACGCCACTAGTCGTTAATGAATACTCAAGCAGCAATGTCCTGGTGGAATCCTAACGTTTCTCAAGTCAATAGAAGACTACAAGAGAGTTCAAAGTCAAAGGCGGAAACTTTGTGTATGTAGAACTTCCATCAGTCCTTTAGAACTATGACTGACTGAGTGTAACATTAGCTGGAATCACGGCATCTTGTCTGGCGTCTGGCCTCTGGCGTCAGAGGTTCAGAACATATCCTCCAAATAAACGAGTGAGAGAGTTTAGTTTTACGCCAATTTTAGCAGTACTCCAGCAATATCACGGCTGGACATTAAAATGCATGTAGGGAATCGAACCCGGGTCTTCGGTGAGACAAGCGAAGGCTTAAACCTAGCTACCCCCTCTTCCCCCTCTTGAATTTTGTAATCTTGATCAAGCAACTTCCGAGCAAGAGTAGTATGACGCTCTTCGAAATTCTGATACAAAAGCACACTCGATTGTACCTCAAACGTTGTGAAATGGCTGGAGCTGTTGGAATATTGCTTGACATTGAAGGGGAGTTGGCTATTGGGAAGTTGAAATCATCCCCTTTGTCATACAGCTATGTGGATAGTTTTTTTGCCCACTGAGATCTTTATGCATAGATCCAAATATGAAACAGTTGTGGCGGTGCCACGTGTCTCCTCAATTTCATGATAAGGTGGGTAAATCAGTGGAAGGGGATTGGCTATTGGATGGTTATTGGACGATATTAGATCAGCGATGTACCGGAAGCTTAAGTTAAACTTGTTGGCAAACATTACCTTGTTTTGATTTTGCCAACAGAAATTCTGATTCATATGCATAAAGAAACAGATCCGCTAGGAGGGGAGCAGAGTTGGTGCCCATGGGGATAGCTGCTTCTTGGTGAAATGGTTTACCCCAAAATGTTACATAGATGTTATCAGTGAGAAAGTCAAGCATTTCACGTATTGTTTTCTTGGCAAAAACTTCAAATTACATTTGCTTTCATTTTTGACAAATTGTCCTGAACCTTTGAAGATAGATATGTATGTTTATTTACAAACGCCACATGGATCAAGGCTTTTTCTTAAGTTTGTCACAGGGGTATACAACGTTGAAAAATCAAATGTTTCGACTCGGTCTGTTTCTGAGAATGTCAAAATGTAAGCAAATCTTTTGAGTTTTTGAGAACCAACATGGTATTAATTCCGCTCGTTTCAAATACTTTCTGTGAATGTCGAGAAAGTCCTTCCTTGACAGTATTAAAGAGAATGGTTAATCTTTGAGTGAGTGAGTTTAGTTTTACGCCGCACTCAGAAATATTCCAGCTATATGACAGCTGTCTGGAGTCTGGACCAGACAATCCAGTGATCAACAGCATGAACATCGATCTGCGCAATTGGGAACCGGTGACATGTGGCAACCAAGTCAGCGAGCCTGACCACCCGATCCCGTTTTAATCTTTGAGACAGGGATGTGATGGTACATTTAATGGACCCAGCAATATATCTCACCGTGTAGAGATTCTATTTAGCTTTGGAATCCAGTACAAAAGAGGAATAGACATGTCTTGAGATTTCAGAAACGAAAAGACATACAAAGACACATAAAGAATTTATGGATGTCAACTTCTTTATTTTTTTATTTATTTTTTATTTAAATACACCACATGCTTCAAACGCGTGTTCCTACTGACGATGACATCAAAGTAAAGGGACAAATCCCTTGTCATCATTTAAGCGCACGATTAGCACGTGCATGTTTGGCATAATCTTTTCTGAATAAAAATCAAAATACCTATTTTTGATTGCAACAACTGTTTAAAAGCTGAAGACATTAGGACATACTTGCCTAAGACTTACATCAACAAAACTGACACCTAAAACATTATTTTTATGGCCTAACACGATTGTATTCAATGAAATGAAATTGCATCCATCCATAATCTAAGTATCAAAACCATAAAGAGTTAATCAGTAGACTGTACTTGTACAACATGCTAGCTTCACAACATAAGTGATGTGTGCATAGTATTAACGACTTGCTCGTTCGCTCTGAAATCGATTTTTACTCCGTGCACGCGATGACAAACAGACTGAAAACCATTTATACAGTGTTCCGTTCAAGACTTGAACAGAAATATGTAAATAAAACGACCCAGCCAGTGTCCTTTCAGTACACAAACACAAAGAGCAAAACGACTGACAGCAATGGATGGATAAGAAAAAGTAATTTGTCTCAGGAGACAGATTACATAACATTCAGATTCCATTATCCCCGAACCAATTATAAGAGTTTATGTGATACAATATTCATCTGAGATCACGGGCTTAGTTATCGTTACATTTTCTTTGGATCAATGTTTGAAGTATTGATCGGTATCTCTTTCTTCTCCTTTCAGACACACGTATGCACTATGCCAGAAGTCGATGCCAGTCCTGCATCGGTCCATGCAGGAAGCAAAGGTACTGTAAGTCCCCATGGTCCCTTGTGTGGTAATCTTTCTCCAGTTACTGGCTCTCTATAGCCCATTTTAACACGGAGTTCAGTTTGACTCAACCACTACAAAACATCGCTGTGAAAATTGCTAAGTGTGATCGAAGCTAGATATGTTTGGGTTGAATGTTTACAAGCAGGTAATGGTGTAGGTTGTCCAAGAATTGTCGTTGACGTGATGTTAAGACGAGGTTTTGTCGGTTAGCAGACAGTTCTCATCAGTCAGCGGTGTAGCTGAAGTTGATGCATGAATGATGTTTGTGACAAACGATGCCGCAGTAGCCGGCTGTCATGGCCGACGTGGTCTGGAACGGCTCCGACACCTTCTTGTTCTTCGACGGTTTGTAGTATGAGCCTAGAGAAAAGTAATTCTTTTTAGTGTGTGAACGAGTATTCTTCAACGCTATATCGTCGTCAAAGTCACATCACACGCCATCAGCAATGTCCTGACTACCCAATCCATCTAGTGATTCTGGGATGACAAATGGAACGTGGACCCACACAACACCCGAATCGTCTAAAAGAACTGATTAAAAATTATAATACATTTTTATTTTACTCCAAACTCTACCTTTATGACCTGTAAAGTCTAGAAGACAAATCAGTGATGTACGTCATAACCAACGTCCAACACCATCGGGGTATTAAAACCTGCATTCACCGCCACTAACGCTCAGATCCTTTCAATGGCCTCTTAGGGCCACACTGAGGACACCCGTACTGGTTTTCTCTCTTCTCAAAATCTCCCCTAAAGAGAAAGAGCGGGCAAATAAAATTTACATCATTAGAAATATTTTTAAAAATCAGTAACTGTCAAAAATATTATTGTATCGTGTGTTAATGAAATTTCATATTAAAATGTAGATCGCGTGAGGATCGCATCGCTTTGCTGCAGAATCAGTTTATTAATAGATGGATCTAGTTGACCTGTGCAAGGGAAGGTTTACTTATTTATCGCATCAAGGCATACATTTCCACAATGACGGAGAAATTTGAGATAGTATAAGAAAACATTTTATCATTTCACTTCATGACAATTCAAGAGACTGGGGCAGGTGGGGAGTACTGTAATACGGACAGACTAATCCGATTACAATGATATAATGTATTATCTCACTCTCTCTAACTTAGCTGATGTATATAAAAGAGATTAATAAAAATTAGTACTTTGACTAAATGGTTCACTCACGATATGGTTTTATTGTCCCTTCTCCTTGCACGTCAACATGCCCGATTCCCAAGTGTGAGATGCTTGTAGCTTGCTGTACAACACGGACAAAGCGGACAGGGAACATGGCATTGCAGGTGAAGGTGAACTTATCACCAGGAGCAACAATGGTAGGTAGAGCTCCACACCACACCACCTGAACGTCAGAGCAGAGGCTGACATCCTTGTCCATCACCTCTACGTAGGCATTCTTCATGAAGATAACTGTACACAAATAGTTCAGGGTATGTATCAAACAGAAAATGTTTCGTTAGTACTGTTTGGTGAAGTTATTCTTCCCTATAGTGAGATACATAGAGAATCTCACCCGAGTGTAATCTTTGATATCAAATATATCACCATATATCGGCGAAGCCTCGGACATTTTAACTTTTATCAGCGAAGTGTTGATATAATTGATACATGTATAAAGTAAACTCGAGGGTGAGATTCTATTTATCATCAAAAATCACTCTTCATTAGTTTTCAAAGAAAAATGTTCATCTCTGAACCCGGCACTACCATTAGGCTTGCAGTGCAGCGACATCATAGCATTCTGACGGTATCAAGTTCATGACGCCATAGCATTGTCAGGGCATTGTACAAAATCTACAGTTAAAACGATATCTCCTGTGGAACACAGTTTTGGATGATAAATAGAGAATCTCACACGAGTGTCTTTTGATATCAAATATATCCCCACGAGTTCATAAAGTTACAATTTTTCACTTATATCAACGAATGTTGATATATTTGGTATCAGAAGACTCGAGGGTGAGATTTTAGTTGTCATAAAAATCACTCTTCATTAGTTTTCAATGAAGAATGTACATCTCTGAACACGGTACTGCCATTAGACTCGCAGTGCAGCGATGTCTCACAGTAGATATCGTTTGATTTCACGCAAGCAATATCTCTTGTGAAACTCAGTTTTGGATGATAAATAATAATGAAATGTTTAAACTCTTCAATTGTTTTAAAGATATCAATAATGTTTTCAAGATATCGATAAATAATAATAAATATCTTTGATTAATTTCTGATATGCAAAATGGAATTACTGATATCGTAAAAGGGTACTGAGATATCAATACACTATTTTGTGGTATCTCTAAATTCGTTAAAGATATCCGCTAGATTCAATTATGATCATAGTGTACATACATGTAATTGTATAAGAACTTAATTCAAGATATCTTCACTTCAATTCATCTTAAATATCGCATTATCGATACTCAATAAGAGATGTCTTCAATTCTGGTA